TCGAAGACGAAAAAAGAAGGGGTTCAATCATGATAACCGAAAAAAGATGACCATTCACATTCATGTGGTATTCATCAAAATTTACAAGGGTGCTTTAATTGATCAAAAATCTTTACAAGACGAAGGATAGCACATCCCCACAAATCACGGGTCAACAACTTGATTCGCCTCGCGACTGTAAACCAGTTCATTCTCAAAACTCCATCTCCAAGCAGTTATGAATGATATTTTTGAGGTTCCAATTTCCAAAGTGGTGCAGCCACTTGTTGCAGGGAAGCAATGACAGGTTTTGAGTCTCCCTCTATAACAATAGATAGCCTTTTAAGCTGATTTTAACATCACAGAAGAACGAGAAGATCCAATATAGGAGCTCAGTTTCATTCTATTTATGGACTCTTGGGATCGTTCTTTGATTAGGCTTATTTTCTGTTTAGTCTTTTTTGCTTTGTTTTGTCTCCAATTATCAAAAAAAAAAACTCTTGAAACCTATTTCAATCAAGTAGATATAAATGGCCGGAAATTAATACTTTGTACATGTGGAAACACCTATTTCAATCAATGTTTTAAATCCAATCTAAAACAGGACGTGTTCTGGCCACTGGTTTTCATGTTGATGGTTCGATTGTCTGGTTTGAACAGACAATCCGTTTTAATAAAAAAGTAATTAAAATAAAAACAATAAAAAGCATTGAATGGGTCAAATGGGTCATGGTTCGACTGTCCAGATTAATGAGTCATTGACCAATTCAACGGTTTTTGGCTAAGGACCAAATTTAGATAAAACGAAATCAGTTGCCCAGACGATTCCCGTGCCAAATGATCTGACCGTCCGGATCAACAACTGTTCGAAAACATTGATTTTAATAAGTAAATGCAAAAAGATTTCTGCTTTGAAAAGAAGAGCTGTATGGTAAATTCTTGAAAAGTATACGTGATGCCACCCATAGGGGTACAAACGGAGTAGATCATGATCCATTCCAAATTTGAATTCGGTCTAATTTTATCAGATACGAATACCCCCCCTTGGGTTGGATTTTTGAATCAGATCAGATCACAAAATAAGATATGTTTCAAAATCAGATCGAATTCGAATTGTTCCTTATCCAATCCAAAATACATGCATTTAATTTTTAAGAGTTTAAGTTAAACCTTAAAATATTAATGTTTAAGTTAAAACATTTTTAAAGAATTTAAGTTAAACCTTAAACATTGAAATAAGGTGAGTAAAAAATATCAAACATACTAACAAGAGAAAAAATAAATAAGACAATAAGACAAATAGTTAAACTGAAGTAATAAATTTAATAATTAATTATGATAATATTTTTATAATTATAAAGTAATAAAATTTAATTTCTATTTAAAATGATTAACATAATAGAAAATTCAAAATAAACTACTATTTTTTAATTTTAACAATAATAATTATTTAAACTAATTACAATAATATTACTTAATTTATAATAACAAATTTTAGCATTATTAAAAATTTTAAACAATAATAAACTTAGCATAATACCATAAATTAAATTATACATCAATGACAATTTATTAAATAAAACAAAATTTAATAAAAGTAAGAAATATTAATTTAAATAAAATTATAAAATAATGTAAAATAAAATCAACAACCCATGTTCAATATGAGTTTGCCTTCACCCTACCCAGGCCCCTCGTTTTGCCACATCATTAGTCTCTTAGCCTTTGGCCACGCCACCCTACCTCCCATTTCATTGTCGTAACAAAGGTAAAAACTTCCCAAACATTAAAAATATAGGATAATTAAGATAATTAATATATCAATTTATTTTATTATTTTTAGTAATTAATTAGTCATAAACACATAAATTTTTGAAAGTTAATTTATTCATACCAATAATTATTGAACAATCAATAAGTAATGAAACATTAATTATTAATGACATTTAAAATTTTTTCATATTTAAATATTAATTTATTATTTATTAGTATTATTAGTATCATATGAAATTAATAATAATATATTATTATTATTATTATCTGAAATTGATAATTATTACCTGAAATTTCCAGAAAATTAATTCTGACCAATTTTTAGTAGTTTCCAGTAATTCATAGGTAATTTCAAAAAAAATGTTGAATTTGAATGAATTTTAGTAATAAAAATTATTTATTGATATTTTCATTTACATTGGTTCTAACTATATTTATAATTTCCATTAATATTCAGAAAATTTAATATTTTTTGAAAATCATTAAATTGGAAAATATTGATAATTACCATAACTAATTATTGGTAATTTGGTAATTATTAAATTGGATAATTATTGAAAAATTTTAATATTCATAATTTACATTTGATAATTATTAATATTTTCCATAATTATTGGTAATTTACATTGGTTTTTAGCATTTATTGGGAAATTTTAATTTAGTGATTTCCATAAACTAATTTTCATGTTTTTGATAATTTATTTTAGTGAAAGTTCATTTAAAAAAATTCTAATTTACTAAAAAAAATTATTTTTCTTATTTACAATTTGAAAGCCAAGAAGATATTGATAGAGCATTAACAAGACTTTTAGAGAATAAAACCCTATTTAGGGACCTCACCTATCAGCTTAAGCTTTTGGGTTATTAATGATTCTTTGAGACATGTCCATAGAAAATAATGAACACAGAGGAGGGCAATCATTTCATATGCCAAAATGAGTACCATGAGATGGTACCAAAAGCAACACCAATCTTTAAAACCCAATCCACCATACATCTTGGGTTCAATCAGAGATTCCCATTTCTTTAGATAAATGCGATGCTCTGTATCAGAAAAACCCCACCAAAAATTGTGAGATAGGGTAGTAAGCTTGTCAAAAAGAGATGAAACGAGAAGCTTGGTACTCATAATACAAGAAAAACCCCACCAAAAATAATGAACACATAGTATTTATTTATTTATTTTTTATCAAAGTAGCCCAACCAACATGTTACAAAAATCAACTATCAAGTCATCCTCTTTATTGCTGTGAATGTCATGAAGACTACAACTAAGTTAAATCTCATTTCTTTTCATTGTCTGTACCCCAAGAAAGGATGTTAGCATTATCCATTTTTTTTACTATGGAGGATTTTTCATAGCTTACTTGTCCAGACCATGAGAAAAAGTCATATTTTAGCACGTATTTGATTTAGTGCATTTCAATTATCATAGAGTTCCTTCGATCCAAAAATTAAAATATCATCTGCATACATAATATGTTGAAGTACAACTCTTAATCCCAACTTAACATCATGCAAAGATCATCAAGCCCCATGATAATAGTCTAGAGAGAACATTCGCAGTAGGGGTGTCAATTGGACTGGATTTGATCCAATCCGATCCAGTCCAATCTGAGCCCATTATAAATGGACCAGGTCCAATCCAACCCAATGAATGTTTTGAATCAATTTGGACCAGTCCAATTCAATGTTTGGACCCATCCAATCTAATTCAAATTCATTTTGATTTAGATTGGTTTCAATTCGAATCCGGTCCATTGATACATACTCTTATCTGATAGCAATGGATCAGATATGGCTTAATCCAACCCAATCCAATATAAATTTGTTACAGACCGGCCAGGTCTAATCCAATCTAATAAATATTTTGGATCGGATTAGTCCAATCCAATATATCTTGTTAGTCCATCTGATCCGTCCAAATTGATTTTGGACTGGACGAGGTCCAATCCAAAACTGGTCCATTGACACCCTTAAATTCCGCAACCAAGATAAATAAATATGGTGAGAATAATGTCATTTACGAAAATAGAGTAGTCTGTTGAAATGCATTGCATAACCAAATGACAAGATTGCTCTAAATTTAAACCCCCATCAAAAAATATCACTCCATTTTATCATAAGCCTTACTAAGGTCAAGTTTTAGAATGAAATACCTATGTTTACTTTTAATTTTCCTTAAAACTCCATTACTTGAGAAACAATTACTCCATTATCAATGGTACTCTTAATTACTTGGAGTGAAAGCATTTTGCATTGAAATATGGCGAGACAGATACCTTTGAGACGGGTAGTAATGAGTTTTGTCACTATTTTATCAGTGAGATTGATTAATCCAATGGGCTTAATCAGAAGCAAACTCCACACTTACCTTTTGGGTCAGAACAACATGAGTACCATTGATGTGTTTAAAATCCTCTGCGTAGAAAAAAACTGGGTACTATTGCCATATTGACCCAGAGCTTTAGTGGGTTCAGTGGCAAAGAGAGAACCCTTGATTTCAGTGTGCCAATAATTAATAAATATGTTCAAGCTCACGCACCAAGTGGCATTCCTCTACCAATGGTTCAATCAGTGCAGACAGAGCATTGAATATGATTTATTTGGGTTCTTTGGATTTCCATCTCCAGTCCCCATGAGTGTGAGAAGCCCATTGATGAAGAGATTCCATCTCCAGTCCATTATTTTGGTTCACTGCAAGTCTGCAACCAAGCCTCTCAAAGGTCATCTTTGAAACCTTCTTTTTTTTTAGAAATTATTGGCCCAGCTGTTTCAAGAAATACAAGCTTCAAGTTAAAGATATAAAATGGTATATGGAATGTTTGGCCCAAGTCTCATTTCATTTGTCCATTGAATGAGATGACTATCACCATTTTTTTTCATGCATTTATATATATAAATGCCAAAATGTCAGAAGTGGGATTTGAACCCACGCCTTCTCTCGAAGACCAGAACTTGAGTCTGGCGCCTTGGACCACTCGGCCATCCTGACAGCGACAAATATCATTTCTCTCATACATTTCTTATTGTCGTGGACAGATTTAAGAAACTCCCATCAACTTTCTCTACTTTTCTTATTTTTTCCTCTACCTTCCAAAGATAAAGAACCACGACAAAAATGAAGAGCCAGTAGTAGACCAATGATCTCTTTACACGAAAGGACTTGCAGCTCAAAAACAATTATATGTAGGTAGAAACAATACTCCATTAAACCCAGACACCTTGAACTCTCAGTAGTTGTGATATCATGAATGGATTTAGTTTCCTCATTTAGATATTGATAAATTGAAAAACTTCTAATAAAATATTAAACACAGTTTGCATGAATGCTTGGTAAAGCAAGAAAAGAAAAAAGTTGGCATGCATGTTTGGATACAAAATCAACACTAGATACGGAAGTGTTCGACATGGACAAAACACCTTTTTACATATTGACCAATATTAGACATGATTGACTATAAGCAGCTACCCGCATCCAAATCCATGTTTAACTGAATGCAGTGCCATTTAGAGGCAAGCACTCATTTCTCAATGAATGTAGAGTCTGCTAGGTCAATAGCCCGGGCAAGAGCAGCTGCTTTGTTCTCACACTCTCTTTGCTCATCATCTGGGTCACTATCAGCCACAATCCCAGCTCCAGCTTGAAGGTGGGCAATCCACTCCCGTCGCTTGTTTGCGTCCTTGTATGAGTACATAGTATCATATCGAGTCCCAGTAGGGAAAACAATGGTTCTAAGAGCCAGAGCTATGTCCATATTGTCATAAAAAGAAATGTAACCAAATCCACCACTATATGGCCCTCGCCTTGTGACCTCTAGTCGATCTATCAACTCCATTGCTTTGACCTGTTTTCCATAGAGTTTCCAATGAGAGTGCACATGATAGAATACCCTAATATAGGAGTAGAAACAAGTGAACTAATGCCACGTATCATGGAGTATGAAATACAATTGAACAAGAAAATGCTAACACATAGACAGACCTAGGCTCTAGCTTCAAGTTTGGGCACAAGAATTCATATTTCCATAGACAAACCAACACACTACTGAGAAAAAACTGCTATAGAAACAATTGAACAATGAAATACTAACACATGGACTGAGGTACTGGCATCACTTTAGGTACAGCCATACAGGAATTCATATTTCAATGGTGGACATAACCAACTAGAAGACTCGAGAAAGGTTTGGCATTTTATACATATTACTGTCACCAAGTACCGAGTTTTTAATTGGAATACTCTAATCATAACTAATGCCACGTATCATGGAGTATGAAATACAATTTATCCCACTGAAACTCTTAACAAAATACCACCATATAGCATAATCAACACGTATCATATTTTGGAAAATCTCCAATTTTTCAAACCTCTTCATCTGAGACAGGGAAAAAGCTAGCATAAAGAAATATGATAGATTAAATGAGCAGCAGAATACATCACCTAATCGTCTGACCATATCTTTTAACTCTTCCCATTGGCAAAATTGTAGTAGTTGGAACTTTGTTCGTTTTTTTTTTTTTTTGATAATAAAAGAAAAAGGAACTCATTAAAGAAAAAAGAAAGTACAAAAGGAAGGTTGAAACACCAATCCCTTCATAGTACAAAAGGAAGAAACTAAAAGACCTAAAACGCAACTTACATCTCAACCAAACCCTTCATCAACCCCAAAACACAACGAATTAGCCTAACACACATACCACCCAAGCCCTACCAAAGATTGAAACACCAATCCCTTTAACCCATTATTCAAAAGATTCCATAGAACCTACAACAACTCAAACAGCAAAGGACCACCTTACAAAAAGCCACACTTAAATCCCTCCCTTCAAATACTTCCTTCTGCAATGAAGATATTTTTTGTGACTGGAAACGTACCTAACATGCAATGAAGATGCATTTTGTCTCGTTTTAATTTCTTTAGTTTTTCTTGTGATATTGAAACAGGGATGCACTGGTCCTGGGCATCCTTGGTTCCTTTACATGTGCCTCTTTCTTCAAAGCCCTTCTACAACCTTCTTCTAGTCCTAGGCCTTCTTTCCCGGTTGAGGAAGTACAGGGGGAACCGGTTCTGCCAAGGGTTGGGGCACTGTGCTAGGAAAGTCTTGGGAAGAATTAACACTTGCGATCAGGTGGAGTGGTGGACTCCCCCACCAAGTCTACATAGCCTCTTCGACTCTCCTGCTGGTAGCTGAACAAATAAGAGGGGAAGGATATTATGGAGGTGTACAACAGCGGTGGTTTACTAGACAATCTGGGAGGAAAGGCACCAAAGAATATTTGCTGAAAAGGAGAGCAGAGAGGCACTTATAGAAGCGGTCACTTCCAGAGTGATTCATTAGGAAAAAAATGGTGGAGATATTTAATGAGTTTCAGACAGGGACTCTATTGAATAATTGGCAGGAAGTGGCAGCCTCAGCTCCAATCAAAAGTATTGTGCAACCTTTATGGTCTCCGCCTTGTGCAGGTTTTATCAAGCTAAACTTTCATGGTAGAACCGTAGCGGTGAGGATAACCCTGGACCTTCAGGGATTGGTGGAGTTTTTTGTCAGAGGAAGGTTCAGCAATAGCTACGTTTTCTGACCCAATTGGTGATGGGGACTCACTTAGAGCAGAAATTTTGGTTTTGATGGAGGGTGTGAAAAGGGCCAAGAAACTAAATATAAACAGGTTGATCATTGAAGGAGACTCTAAAGTTGTAATAGGATGGCTGGGGAAGGAAGATGATAGTATGTGGATTTACACCAATGAATGAAGACTTTTCAAGAGGCTGCTGACTCGGGGCATGCAGGTGACACTGCAGTGGGTAAAAAGATGCACTAATTCCTTTGCAGATGCTCTTGCTAAACAAGGGATGGGAAGAAATCATTTGCTTTGGGCTATGTTGTAATCTTGTATTTATTTGGGAGAGAGTTGAGAGAGTTTACCTCTCCCCACCTTTGTACTTGATTCAAATCCGTTAATGAAAAATTCCTGTTATTGATAAAAAAAAGGGATGTGCTAGTTTTTCTTATAATATTGAAACAAGATGCATTTTGTCTTGTTTCAATTTTAATTAGAACCAAGACAATTAGATAAACCTTTGGTGCACCGCTGACTGTTCCAACAGGCAATGCAGCACGCAAAGCATCCCAGCAAGTAAGATCATCAAGCAATTCACCAGTAACCTGCCAAAGGACCCATAGATTTTTTTAATTAAATTCTTAAACAGATATGTACTAATCATATTTGAAGAGAACAGGTTGTCTAACATTAGGAGAACCAATATCATCCATAACATGGACATCAGAAAGGATCATATCCATGAACAATATTATCACAAAAGGTTAGGAACCACACATTGAAATATGCATGATATTTTTAGTTCTTCCATGCTCAAGTTACACCAAAATCCAGAAAATGCAAGAAGTTTCTTACCGTGGAGCTGATATGCATTACATGAGAATATCGTTCAATATTCATAAGCTTCTCCACCTTCACAGAGCCAGATTTGGATACCTGCAGATAATAACTTCTTTTAGATAAAAGCTCGTTTGTAAACAAGCAATAATTCATGGGTAAAATAGGTACAATTTTTAGGAGTGCAAAGTAGAAATGACATAGTTATAGCCTACATATTTATGACACCAGCACTAAATATGTATTAGATTAAGGAAATAAAAAATATGTAGCATGTACAGTTTAAGAAAAACATGTAGCAAGATTCAAAATTTTGACATGATACAAAACAGTAATGGGTGTACCATATCATATTGGGAGGTCAGCGATACACCTTTTTTAAGGCTTTTTCCAAAAACTTCCAATTTTAAATGTTAAATGCCATTAAAACCACCCTCTGTGAATATCTCAAAGTAAAAAAAAAAAAAAAAAAAAAAAAAAAAAAAAAAAAAAAAAACAACAACAACAACAACAACAAATTTAGTGTTTGATGGTATTGAAACACTCAATACACATTTCGTGCATATTGGGTGTATCGATATTTTGAATTTTGGTTGGAAGCAAGTTGGTAATAAGACACCTTGTTCTCGGTGCTTGCACCAATGTTGCAATGACCTTATTCGAAAGCTTTTTGTTCCTATAAAAATCATGTTAGTTTGAAATGTACAACTATTAGATTATATGTCAAAATGCTTTCTAAATTAGGGGGCACGGCAAAATGCTAGGTCTATATCCAGTTCACCCATCCCAAGACCCTGGATAGCTGGGACCAGCATTGGTATGGTATGGCCCTACCTATTTCCCAGTTTGTTTGATCTCACTTCTACCTATTCTTCAAAACTAAAATCATCAAGAAGTATAGCATCATTAGTCTTCACATTTCAGTCATCCAAGGGAATCAAGAATATATGTTGAAGCAGATTTTTACTATGACCTAGCCCTGAATTGGGTTGGAGATCAATTTCTTCTCCAAACTCTAAAACTGGAAAAGAAAAAGGAAGAAAGCATAGCAAACTAGGTTGAAAAGGACCCAACTATTCAAAGCTCCTTCGATCATGAAACCTGAAGTACATTAGAGGGTAACACCAAACAGGCAGACCTAACTACTCACACTTCCAAAATCTAAAACCCATCCACCTATAAGTACAACGAAATATATATATATAAGTCAGTATGAGTAGCATTATGATTTGAAGGATTGAACATGTAACCCTGCACAACAAATTTGAACATAGATGATGAACATTATAATAGGAGAAACCTTTCCAACATCATTCCGTCCCAAATCTACTAGCATAATGTGTTCTGCACATTGCTTTTCATCATTCAGCAGCTGCTTTTCCATCATATCATCCTCCTTGTCTGTCTTTCCTCTTCTAACAGTCCCAGCAAGTGGTCGATTAGTAATCTTCCCCTGGCAATAAGAACAGAATAGGATGCTATAGTTGGTAAATGCTGAGGAAGAGGTGAACCATAAACATTGGAAGCGTCTATACAAAATGACATCATCTTGAAAAGCAATGAAATAGGAACGTCTATGTGAAGCTCATAAAAGTCTTCTTTAAGAACACAATATGAAAGATATAGTTCTAACTTAAAAAGGATTTCATATCACTTCTATAGAATTAAGTACATTTGTGAAATTATAAAAATCCATAAACAAGTTGTTCATGTAATGGAGAAAAAACTCTTAAGCACATCAAGCAGTAACTCAGCAAATCTGTTTACCTTCTTCACACGAGTAAGAATTTCAGGGCTTGATGCAACAAGAATACATCCTCTAGCCTTAATGAAAGAAAAATATAAAAGAAAAATCAGTTACAACAGACACTAAACTCATATAAAAAAACATACATTATGTAAACCTACAAAAGAAAAGTAGACACACCTGTAAGTAAGTCATATACGGACTTGGATTTACAACTCTCAAAGCCCTGTATATCTCAAATGGGTCTGCAAATGTTCGGCGCTCAAATCTTTGACTTAAAACAATCTGGAAAATATCACCTGCTAGGATATGTTCTTTTGCCTGTGCTACTACTTTCTTGTAATCTTCACTTGTCATATTTGATTTCTTTACTAAAGAACCAAAATGGCGGGTGTGTAATTTCACAGAACCTGAAGATAGCCTTGGCCTAACAACAATGATAAATCAAATAAACTAGGAGTCAGCATTCATGGAAACAATAGGAAGAAAGATAGATAAGAAAGCAGTATACTGAGTTATCTTTACTAACGGATCAATATCTTGCACTTTAGACACTAAAATTTCTAAGCGGTTCAATCCATCATTGTAGGCTTCATCAACTGAGGAGTACCGATCTAGCCACACCCAATGGATCACATATGCTTTCTGATGGAAAGAAGAACACCCAAGAGAGTCTCAATCAGATTAGCAATTAGAAACCTTCAAACAATTCAGAATGAAATCTACAGCCAAAGCTACAAGTACTATGGGATGAGCATCATGTATAGTTCCACATAGTTTAATTTGGCATGACAAGCAATGGACAAGGAGCATAACAGACCTAGGCTTATCTTCTTTGCTTTAAGAGTCGGAATTGATAGGAAAAAAGTACCTTTTCCACATGATCAAACACTATAACATCATCATAGAGGCCTAGGTGAACATCAGCCAGGTTTCTATCATTTTCAGGTGCACTTGAGAAAGGAAGCTTTTTCTTCTCAACATACCTCACTGTATCATATGAGAAGTAACCAACCCAGCCACCTGTTTAGATGGCATAAATTAAAATTATATTTGTTTAAGAAAAATTAGTGATTGAGACTGAAATGAGTAGAGAGAGAACAAGTTTTTCTCTACTGTTCTACAACTTGGAAAATGAATGTGGTGATATAAATAGCATAAACAATTCATTTGTAAATCAGGTCACTACTTCAAATAGTAACAATTGCATGAACCAATTAGTAGGAAATTACTCTAGCATAAACAATTCATTGGTGGTTTCAGTGAGTCAGTGACTAAAACTACCCAAAAGACTAGAAAATATTAATGGTTCTAATACTAGAAGATATGTGAAAGAATGAGAAGAATCTGAGTTTTGGTTTCAGTGTGTCTCAATGTAAACTCAATATGAGTTTACTAGATTAATTTTAGAAAACTATAACTACTGAGACCAGTAAAACTTATTCATTTTATCATCTGAGCAGCAAAAGAATCAAGCTATCTTTCATGATCCCAAAATGCCAACTACCCCCAAAACCCAATGCAAATGATCCAAGAACTCTAATCTAAGGCCATTGCCAACTTAGCACAACAACATTGATTTGGGAGTATGTGATATAAATTTTCATAAGTCTTAGAAGATAAAAAATTACATATAATCGAAATATATACTAGAAAGATCAAGAGGCTCTAAAGTTGAGCTATCATAAAAATAAGAAGCAAATTCACAAACTGCACATTGCTAGCAACAATTCTTTTTTAATAATGTATGCAGTATGTATGACAAATTCCTCAAAAGGATTCTATGCTATTTATTAAGATAAGATGTAACCACAATAGGAACTTGAGATTAAAACATGCCACTACGATGTTTCAATACAATGGAATTACCAACAAATGCATCTGGAAGCTCATCAACACGTTGGGGCCTCCACTTCTCCATAATTCTCCGAGGAACTACCATTGGATCATCAACATATTCCTCTGTCCTACTCCCTTCCTCATGGTCCATGATTGTAACGAAGTTATCCTTTGCCACAACTTCCATTTTCGGCTGAGCTCCAATCACACTATACCGTCCCTAAGAGAACGAAATCAAAAACAGAATAAATAAAAGGCGAAGAAGTACGATAACTTTCAAGGAAAGAAAGAAAGAATGGAAGCTTACAACATTCGAAGCTCGAAAACCCTGCTCGACTGTTTCGAACAAAAAGCTTGGAGCTTCTCGATCATCTTCTTTAACCAGGCATCGGTAAGCAAGCACAGGAGTTAGGTGGTCTGAGAAAATGCAGCGATAGAGTGGAATTAAGTTTTTTCCGTTCTTTGAAGCTTCTGTAAACTTCACTGCGCCATCTTCAGCTAAAGCATTAGAACCAGGAAAAAAATCAAATACAAGAAATTGAAGGTAAAACAATTCTAAATAACACACAGAATCAATTAAAGCGATAAACTAAAAAAAGGATCTCTTTTTCAGCGAACAGAGAGAGATACCTAACGACGGATAAGAGAGAGCTGAACACTTTACAGTGAGCTGAGTCAGGTTACACGACCGAGAGTGGGAAAGGAAGCGGGAGATAGGCAAAGTAAGAGAGCATATCGATCTTCTGCTGCAAAGTGAGCCGACAGAAACCTTTGTAGATGAACGACTACGTGGTGGGAGAAAATGGGGTGAAACCGCTAAGGTTTCCATCTTCAGAGCATCCAATGGAACAAGAAAAATGGACAGAGATTTTCAGTAATGTGGCATCAAATCTCAACACTAACCACGTCCCATGGTTGATGGGCCTCACTTAAGCAATCAGACAAAGTTATGGAGGTGGAAAAAAGTAAAGAGAAAAATGTTATGGAGGTGGCATCAAACAGCCGTTCAATGAATGGAAAAAAGTAAAGAGAAAAAAAAATTGAATCGGACTGTAATGGAGGTGGAAATATGGCGCTTAGTGTGGTAGTTATTAAGGAAGAAATTCCAGCCGAAGCAGACTTTAATGGCGGAGATGTAGAGTTCGAAGTGGCGCTTTTCAATGATCGAAACCGTGATTTGTGGGTTATTAGTAGACTGGTTTAGTAGTGGCGGCGGGGATGCTTTGAGGCGCTGGTTTGGTCATTTTAACTGCAGCAAAGTGCACGAGAACAGAAACAAGTAACCGCCGGTGAGGTTGACGATGAGTTCCGGTGATTGAGAATGGGGTTTGAGATAGGAATTAATCGAGAATAATTAGGGCTTCTTGGCTCTTAAACCCAAGCTTGACTAAAAGAAAAGAAACTAGAGAGGTTGAAGACGACAAACGGTACTCCTCCCTCACGGTGAATCGACTCTCTAAGGTACGTTTGGATTTTGGAAGTAATACAAATGCAAATATACAAAATATTATAAGGTTTTGCATTCTATGTATTTGCATTTTTACTCCTTCCAAACTCAGCCTAACTATTCAAACATACCCTCTCAAAATACTTAAAAGCATTTTTGACGAATATTGACGAAAAGAAAGGAAAAAAACACAAATATCCTTAAGTATTCATTAAAATTTCAGAACATGCCCCCCTCCTTTGCCCATGGTCCCAAATGGGACTCACAAATCACAATGAAAACTGTTCTGATAGGTAGTTCAGCCGGGTGTGTATAATTTTGTTTCCAGTTCATTTGGACTTTTTAGCATCCTTCAATGTCAAATCTCTTCGGTCAGAGTTCACATCCTGTCAACCCATGGGCTCACGGAAGCGTGAACCCACTAGTAAGAATAGAACACATCAGCACCTTCAAAAGTTATTAACGTCTTTAGACGTTAGTTGAATGATTCCACTTGAAGACACCAAATGACAAATTATTTAACTGATCGAAGCATCCAATATCCTCCTCTTCTCCTCCGAGCCTTAACCCAAAGAAGCATCCTGCGGTACGTCCGTGAATCCGAATACTCTCCCTCCCATTGCCCCGATGGCAGCAAAAAATCCGACGATAAGTATGTTTGTCTTCTTCTTCTTCCACTTGTTAAACGGGAAAAAGACAGAAAAACAACACTAATCAGTTATCAGAAAAGCAATCCAATCTGCTCTATTGGAGCAAGAAACATGTAAACCCGAGTAGTGGGAGAGGACAATTTATGAGCCCGACAAATGGCGATGAAGTTCTGAATAAATTTGTGTAATATTTCAATGGTTTTGGGTAATTAATTTTCCTTTTTGGAAAGGAAAATAGTTGCTAGACTAGATATACTCGTTGGAAGATTCTGAAAACCGAATCTAAAAATCCAATTTATAGTTTGAACAGCCACTTACCACTCTAAGGAGTTAGGATTTGGTAGCCACACTTGTCACATGAGTACTGTGTTCAGATCATTGCATGGATGGCCATGGGAGTTGTAGTTAAAAGAAGATCCATTTAAAAATGAAGTAGGTAGAAACTTCAAAAGCTTCAGAGAAGTTTTTGCTTATACCAGATAGAAAGACTACTCCATCAGGTTCAAAGAAGAGGAAAAAGAAAAAAAGATTCGAAGAAGAGGAAGAAGAAGACAAGTATACTCACTGCCGGCTGGAGTTCTTGTCACCGTTGGTACTACTCCATCAGGTTCAAAGAATAGGAAAAAGAAAAAAAAAATTGAAGAAGAGGAAGAAGAAGACAAGTATACTTACCGTCAACTGGAGTTCTTGTCACCGTTGGTGGATTCCATGTTCACAAACATCGATATGCAATGATATTGCCAATGAGATGTTTCTCTAGGTTAGGACTCGAAGGAGAGGAGGGAATGGAAGGGAAGATCTGTTAAGTGATTTTTGTCTTTTTTTGTTTTGTCTCTGGGTCAACTGGATTCCTTCATCTAACGGTTGAAAGCCCAATAATCTAAAGTTGCCGACGTGTTCTTTTCTTATTGGTGGGTTCACATGATGCGAACTCCTTTAGTCACTCAGGCACAAACAAGGTAACCTATAATGGGTTACAGAGGTTGGGAATTGGGATTTCCGGTTTCGATGAAAGAATTATTGTTAAATCTTTTATTCTTCTATAATTTTCACTTAGGATACAAGAGAAAGACAATAGGAGTTAAGTAGGGGTAAAATCGGAATTATGATCAATCTACCATGCATTAGATAACAGTTCTGAATGTTTTGTTAGACAGTGGATGCCCTTAGCTGCAAATATATTGATATACATATACATTTATTTGTAAATGAATAAAGTAAATTGTTATTTCATGTTCATATTGGTGTGTTTTCTATGTATTACCCTTTAAACTGGACACTTAAGAGACTCGTGTTAGTTTAAAAAGTTCTCAGCCATTGGATAGACTTTGGGAGTTTATCTTGACAAGGCTAACACCGGTACACTGCTAAGCAATTGGAGTAGCTTGTCTCAACTATTAGGGTTAGACCCCAAGCACAACCAATGGGTGTTTATAGAAGCATTGAACCTGAACCGATTTCCAGTTACGCCTTGGACCTTGGAGATAGATGGGCAAAATTGGAAAGTTACACATAACCCTAGACTTGTTTGTGTTTAGAATATGGTTTTGCAAAATGTATTTATATATTATATACTACTATTTTATGAAAAATGTTTGTAAAAGGTTTTAATCACATGATCCATATGAGCAAAGAGTGTGACAATACATATTGTAGACAAGGGGGAGGTTCTTCCCTATTGGGCATATTTTGATTATTATGGGCTGAGAGGTTAAGTGTAAGAGACCATTACAGGGTTAATTACCTGGTGGGCTTTGTCCCACATGAGTCTATTATCCTTGGGTCCTCATAGGATGGCTAAATCTAAGGATCATTTAGGTGTAAATGTTGGGTCTAAACTAAGTCCATGATGATTGGCTCAAGGGTTTAGTGCCTTGACCAATGAATTCGGCCTAACCATTTTCAAGGTAGGGCCAAACCCTTATAGATTTTGTGTGAGACCTTTGTAGGGTCCCACGCCATACAATATTAGGCACAAAGTGGCCATGCAACACTTAGGGATGTGACCCTCAAAGAGGAATGGGTCTATGGCCCATTACTAATATGACTAATTAAACTATCACATGACAACTGATTTTGGTCAAAAATGGGTATAGAGCACTTATCCTCTTAATAGGAAAGTGTTTATCAATTAAAAAAAAAAAGTTTTGAACCAAATTAGATTTGGATCATCTCCTAATCAAATTATGAGCTTGTTCCATATAAAGATAAAGAAAGAAGTGGGTGAACAAGTCTTGGACACTCTCTCCACATTCTTACTTTTTCTTCTTCTCTCTTGTCTCTCAAAATACCCATCATGACCTATCCTTTTCAACAACTGATTTCTATCAGTTTTCTTCTATGTTTTTGCAAGAAAAATATTGAAGAAACTCAGGCTCACTCATCCCATTCAATCTAAGCCAATTGGATAGTTGATTTGCTGAATTCAAAGTTGTTGAATCGGTTTCTCCCGTACATTGTGCCATCTCCAATTAGAGGCAGACTTTGGGATTGTCATTGGGCATGAACTTCCACCTTGGGAGTTTCTTTTGTAGTCTTCGTATTAGGTATGATATCCTTTCAATTTGGTTTCAAATCTAGTCCGATTCAATGCAAAACCGATCCTAAAAATTTAGTTTTCAAATTTACTAGTAAATCGGTTCCCAAAAGGGTTAAATTTTTTTTTGAGATTTTTCCAACCATCTAACATGGTTCGACCATCCATATAATGAATTTTGAACCCTTCCAACACGTTTCACTAATAGAAAATATATTTCTGTTAAGTGGGGCCACCTCATAGGTATATTTAACTAATTATCCCATATTTGATGGGTTTAAATACTTAAAATACCTTACCTTAAGTGTACCCCTCATAATATAACCTTAAAGAAATACTTAAGAGTTAGGGCTCATTCATTTTAGGTAAAAAGGAAGGAGGGGGTAAGTTGGTGGGTCCCATATAATTGTAATAATTTTGTGTTTGGTACGAATAATGAATGCTCTAGTGGGTGGCTGCCCTTTTTCATGATAACAACACTCTATGGCCTAGGTTATTTGAATACTCATGATAACATTTCCCAGTATGATAAAAGGGTGTGGGTGGCTACCCTTCCTTAGCCCCCAAGGGCCCTTGATAATTTTAAGTTGGAACTACCAGGGGTTAAGCACTCCCCTGATAGTTTGAGTTCTTAAAAAAGCTTGCTTTTAAGTCAAACCTTCTATAATTTTTTTTAATTGAAACAAAATGTTTCCTATTATCCTAAAGGACGAAATTAAGTTGGATTAAAGAATGTGAGTGTTGGGGCATGTATGTAGTTGCCTCTCAAGGGATTTAGTAGTCTTTTGGAATCTAAATCAAAACATGAAAGTGATTTATACAAGTGAAAGAATTATAACTGATGTTGTGGTAGGGAATAATGTGGAAACATGGCACATCTCTTTTATTTATGGTGAACATGATTAAAAGAATAGACCTGAATTTTTACAACTTTGGCAGAGCCTATCCCAAATTCCTCTTGGAACATGGATTTGTATTGGAGATTTTAACATGCTACTCAAAAAAGATGATAAAATGGGAGGAAAGAAAGTTAATAGAAAAGAGATCGCAAGAACCGAGAGGTTTCTGAGAATTTTGGGGTTAAAAATTATAGTCAATCATGGCCTAGGTTTACTTGAACTAACAAAAGGGAGAGCTCAAAGAATGTCAAAGAAAAAATAGATTTGGCTATAACAAACAAGGGTTGATTGGATTTGTTTCCTAAAGCAATAGTAGTTCACTTGAGTAGTGAAGGTTTTGACCAAATTCCCATAATGCTGAATGTTTTCCCTTTTTTGGGTAAAAAGAAAAGACCGTTCAGGTTCGAGAATATGTGGAATACCCATAAAGACTGTGCAATCTTTGGGTAACATGTCTGGCATCAAGATTAATAAGCATTGCCCAACTATTACGCATTTATTTTTTGCATATGACTCTTTCATCTTCTCCAAAGCAAGTATTGTAGAAGGAGGACTGATCATAGAAGTCTTGAAGAAGTATGAGGAGGCCTCTAGACAAAAGGTGAATCTTTTAAAGTCTGAAATTTTGTTTAGTCCAAAGTTGCACCCAAAGTTCTAGAAAATCATTTCTAGGGAGATGGGTATCAAAAAGATTTGTAAACCATCCAATTATTTTGGGCTTATAGCAGATTTAGGTAGTTCAAAGGTAGAGTTTTTTAACTTCCTGAGTAAAAGATTGAAAGATAAACCTGACATTTGGAAATCTTCCTTTCTAACCCATGCAGGAAAGACGTGATGATCAAATTAGTGTTAAACCCCATTCCATCCAATTAAATGTCATGTTTCCTTATCCCCAAGGGTATTTGTCAAAAATTAGCTAAAATTTAGAGGAATTTCTTTTGGGGTGG